TGATCTCACATCTATGTTAAAACAAATGTTCCTTGTAAATTCGACATACATGGGTAGCATTTAATTTAGTATTCCAAAAGCTACTCAATAAATTGTGTTTTTAGTATAAGTCAGTTTTAAAATGCCATACTTGATTGCCTTCATCTGAAACTCACCCTTTTTATATATGTAACCGTATCCAAGTTTTATAATGGAATGGAATTTCTCTTCTTCTTATTTGCTTGAACGATATATTTATTGTAAAATAGTTTTGTGACGTGTGGTATTAGAATAATTGTTTGAATTTGTGTTATATTTAGTTATTTCAGATACAGCTCACTCGTGCAATAACAGCCTAATCTCAAACTATATTGAACTACCAGATGAATGCATAGAGTATGGATTGAATGGAACAAATCGCTATGACGTAGGGAAGTGTAGCCGATCAAAATGCCCGGGTAATGTCATCAACAGTGACAATCAGTGTATGGATAATGAAAGACATTGTTGTGCTGAGTCAAGCACTGAACAAAGGATGCTTACATGTATGGACTTTAACATATCTGTAATTGTCGTCACCGGATGTGACTGTGGTGTATGTGTCGAACCTACAAAAGTGATTACAGGACGAGCAGTTGCCGCTGATAATCGAGAACCATTACAGTTTGGGAAAATATTCATAGGATCGGAGTTGATTATGACAACTTCATCGAATGGAGAGTTTATCTTTGATGTCCCCATTGGTAGGCAACGCATCCCAGTAACATTCCATGACACTAACAAGAACCTGGTTGATGCCACCAACGTGATTACAGTATCGGACAATACTATTTACCATATAGAAGTTGCTCTTCAACGTCGTGCACCATCTGTGTCATTCAATGCATCAGAAACTGCGACTATCCAACTTGGTAATGCCAGTCAGCCTTCTGTTGAAATAGAGATTCCACCAATGTCAATTCGTTCAAGAAATGGCAGTATTTACGTAGGTAACGTTACAGCCAGTGTCAATTTCATTGACCCTAGAGACCCACAGATTATTGATACCATTCAAAGTGACCTTAGTACACGTGATGTTGAAGGAAATGTTAGAAATCTGCAAACGTTTGGTATGGTATCAATGAACTTTGAAGACGATGGTGGTGAGCCCCTCGAAGTCAATGGAAGCATCAAATTATATGTTGATGCAGAAAATGCAAACTTGAACATAAAAGAGTTAGACGAGGATATGCTCCCGAGATTATGGTTTCTGAATTCAGAGAGTGGCGAATGGGAAGACATCGGTGGGCTACGTTTCGAGAGTGGGAAACGACGAAAACGTGCTACCAGTGACGAAATTTTAGTCGTTGGAGACATTGAAGTCACTGGTAGAAATTTGAATGAATGGTACAATCTTGATCGTATACAAGGTGCAGACGAAGTATGCTTTGTTAAAGTGAGAGTATACAAGGATGAACAGCTCACAGTTCCCATGAATGACGTCGAAGTCACTGCAATAAGCAAAGACTTGGATATAAGAACCACAGGCAGACTTCAAGGGGGAAAGTTTAACTTTTTTGAACAAATTTTAACTAGTTCTGGTCAAACTTGTCCACGAGTATTTTGTAATGATGATGGCACTAAGTATTCCCTCAATATTCGTGCTAAGTATGATGGAAGAGCTTTCATTCCAGTAAATCCAAACAATGTTTCCTCAACTGTCCATCCAAACTCGTGGCCAAATGAAATTTTAGAGTCGTATTCGCCTCCGGATAAGTGGGATGATACGGGATTCATCACAATGTCTGGAAGAAAGAAGCCAAATAAAGATGGTCCAATTTATTCTGCTACTCTACCATACTGGTCTTATGTGTATGACGCACAAAGACGATGCAATGCTGCCAACAACAAACACAATCATTTAATCTTCCGACACCCGCAAACCGAGAACTTAAATGATCGTTATGAATACAACACTCATCCATACTCATCGGAAAGTCGCTATGAACAGCCGAGGGTTCCATGCTCGTGGTATCCATATGAAGGAACACGCAAGTGTGTGTGTTTCATTAAGATTTTGGTTGATGGACCTAACACCAATAGATTCAGAGTCGTCAGTGCAAAAGGCAGTAATGTCAATGTTAACTGTGATGAATATGGATTCCGGGTTGCATCGACACCAGAACACCATGTTGATAATAATAATAAGTCAGCAGTTTGCATAGAATTTAAGTGCAGTGGTACTGTTCGGGAGAGTAAGATTGCCGACCCTGACATACAAGACGAAGGATCTAAAGGACATGATATGACAAGTGTGAAGGTAATTCCAGATGAAAATTCAAGAAACTGCTTTTTGAAACCTAATGGTGTTAATCCAAATTTGGAAGGCTTGAACTTAGTTGATGTGACGTACAAAGGAACATCAGTCGTTCATTTTACTGATTATATTACCAATTTTGGAATATGGGGGCAAATTGCAGGTGTATATGAAACATGTGGTGGAGGCACTACAGGCTTGGATGACGCATACTCAAATTGTAATGCAGGAGGAGATGGAAGCGAGAGTGATTACAATCCAGAGCTCAATTGGGCCTTGCATTATGAATGTCCATAAGTAAAGGAAAACACGCTTATAATTATCGCAACCAGCATGGTTTGTATGCGTCAATAACATTAACTGCATTACATATTCAGAAATGGAAATTACATTATATATACATATGTCTTAGTTTTCTTTCAAATTATGTTTACCAGTTAAACTT